CTAAATATATTTATATGAATGCACAACAAGACCAATCAATTTAAAGCCGATGAAAAAAACGGGGGGCTTTGTAAGGAAGGGAAAGAAGGACTCACGCGTGTCCCCTTAGAAACGTCAACTAATGTCTCTGTGCCTACTCTATCAATGTCGAGAACGAAAAGTAATATAGAATCTACTAGTAACTCAGTCACAAATGCATTAGCAAGAAACATTCTCTCTCCTCCGGCTTTCAAATGAAAGAACTTTCTCAAAAAATTTCAGATGCGTTCAGCAACCCGGACGGATTTCGGATTTCCATTTTACTCTGGACAAAAAATATGCGGTTTGAATCAAATGTATGACAAGTAAACGAGAAAATTGGTGTACTTGTTTATTGTATGCTCAACTATTAATATGTATATTCCCATTCAGGTTAAAAATTACTACGTTGCAAGTCACATTTACTATATCTAATGATTTGAAAGTATAAATTTTGTGTGTTTATGTGTATATGTATAATTTGCGGTGCAGGTTATATTTACAAACTTTTTTTGTTTACAAATTCTTACAAACTACACTAAGTACGACCGGTCATACTTTAATCATGCAGTGTACGACCGGTCCTACTTAGTGTAATTTGCAAAAAAAAATTGTAAACGGATTCTATCCCATAATTTGCTCTTTATGCTATCTTTGATAAACTCTAATCTTATAAAATTTTATTTTGGATAATTTTTTTTTAAAGTTGTAATATATGGTAAGGTTAGAAGTTCAATATCTGTCAATCTCTTATGAATATAGCAAATTTATGCAATTCAGTTACATTTAATTAGTATAATATGAGATATCTAATTAAGGACAAGACTAAATGTAAAAACAAAAGAAAGTCATATTTTTAGATGTCACTGATATCGCAAAAGATTTTTTCATAAATAGCATTTCCCATAAATTAATTATATACTTATTCAGTGGCACATACGTACTAGATTTTTTAGATACGTATGCTTCTTAAGCTCTTGTGATTGTGAAGCCAATTTCTACTAGATTTTGTTGGTGTAGGCAAAATCGAAAATGAAATATAGTTATTACTTAACAATGACAAGAAGTGCATGAATTAAAAGGCGAATTGTTTATTGCCTATGTATATAACTACACATAACTATCTACCATTACACAATGAGTTTAACCCAGTTGACAACATAGTCTAAATAGGTAGGGAGAAAATCTGAGTTTGATTTTCATCAAATATATCTTTGAAAAGAGATAATGAGATTTAATTGTGACTGGCCAGACGATTGAAGTTTGTGAGAATATGAAACGCGAAATCACTAGCTACCATTAACATAATTGGTGAAGGACTAGAAAAGAGTAAAAGAAAACAAATAAAGGAAAGAAGAAAAATAAATTATTTATGCCGCTGGTTTTGAAGTTCACGAAGAGTCGAAGACAAGTTAGGTAGGAGCTGCTTGTTTCTGTATCGGTGAAACTATACAAGGGGCGATTAATTAAGGGGTTCACCTATCATTGAGCTCGTGCTAAGATTATGTTTTTTGGTACCTATATTCTAAGTAGTGAAAGGGAATACAAAAGGTACCCGGGGAGAATCGATAATAGTGTGGTTACCCAGAGAAAAATAAAAATAAAACAAAGCTAAAGTTCAACAACACCTTCACAAGAGGGATAGAAAGGTCTCTTTTGAGATCAATGTAAGGGAGAAAAAGAGAAAAATAAATAAATGCCTATGATGACTACGATCTTGTCTTTTAAAAAATATTTGCTAAAGTTTGCACAAGAAAAATATTAATCGATTATATAAACTGATTTTCTAACGTTGTTTCTCTCTCAAATTTGCAATTGGATGTTATGTTTACATTAGCTAACTTCATACTCTCGGAATATTTTTACAATATGTCAAATATAATTATAGAAGTAAATTATACTATCATTTTTTTTGGTATAGAATTTATACTATCATTTGAGTACATGTTTGACATAACTTTTTTTCAGCTTCTCTTCTTAGAAATCAATTTTTTTTTTTTTTACAGAAGCTCTTAAAAGATCTCTTTTTTTAATGAGATAGAATTTTCTCTTACAAATCCAAAAAGATATTATTTTGGGGCTTGGGGAGAAAAAAAATATAGGCCTTTGGGGGAATTTAGTTTTTCTTTTGTAACATGATTCAAAAATAGCTTACATTTTTTTCAAAACAAAGTCGTTTTTAGGCTATAAAAAATAACTTCATTTTTTATAATAGAAAAAACATTAAACCCTTCTTATGGTGAAGGATGAAACAGAAAATTAAATTTTTTATGAAAAGCTTCCAAAAATAGGAGGTTCGAGCCTCTACCTTTTGACTTTTTTTTATAAGAAAAACTCACATTATACTCACATGGTCATCTCTAGTCTAGTGTTGGGCCAGGCAGTTACCATACTCAATTATTGGTAGATCTTTTCTAATCCTATTTTTACTTAAGCATGATCATAAGTAATCACTTCACCTAAAAGCTTAAAATTTTAAGTGATGGATCTTCAACAATTTTATATTATATCTATCTAACATTACACTATAAACATGTTGTCATTTTTTTGTTTTATGAATATTTTGTCCTATCTTTGTTCTCTGAATGCGTGGTCTCTGTATTAGTTGTGTAGTTAATTGAGTGAGGCGTGCTATTATAATATAATTAATTATTAATTTGTAATAAATGATAATTATTGATTGACGAAAATCAACGGGTAAGATATAATTGTAAGAGGTTATAAACGAAAATAGATTGTAAGTATAACCTTCTAATTCTTGGAAAAAAGTTAAAATATTTATTTAAATAAATAAGTATTTCTTAAATACAAAGTTGATATATTTATAACTTGATATTTAGTATGTAAACATTTTTAGTATTATTTTAAAATATATTCAAAATATATAATTATTTTTTAAGTTTTTTTTATTTTAAGTTTTTTTTAGTAATATCGAAATTTGTAATTGAATACCTTTTATGATAATTTTAATTAGATTAGAGTTTGTATAAATTATTTTACCGAATAATTTATTTACAGATTGAGGTTTAAAGTACTGTTAAGCTTAAAAAAATCATATTATTACGAAACATATTTAGTTTTATAGTTTAAGGGATATATTTTTCTTATGTTGTAGGAAAAAATTACCTCATAGTGTAGAAATAAAAGTATAAGTGGGACCCACAGGTAAGAGGAGAGAGAAAAAAGAGTAGTGAGACCCAACCCCTTTTTGTGTGTGTAGGAAAGTTGTTTATCTCATGTAAAATGAGATAAACATAATAGTTTAAATGGGTTTATCATTTCTCCTATAAGATAAAATAAAATTATCTCCTACAATTCTAAAGTTACGTAATTTTGAAAGTTAGGAGAATTAATCGGAGGTTTAATTTTGGTAAAATATTATAATAAAGAAACGAACAAAATTACTAAAATACCCTTAGTTAATTTTGGGGTTGCAGTTACCTTCTTGTAAAACAAGAAACAATTTTCCCATATTAGAGATGTATATACCATTAAAAGCTATTCACTTAAAAACTTAAATTTTTCCCATATTAAAAACTTAAAATATTATAATAGAGTCTCGATGTCACATGTTCGATCCTCACCGCCCCCATTTAATTTAATAATTAATTAAGTCTTATGAAGTTACTTAGCACAGATAAGCGAGCCTGTGCATTGTCCATTCTTCAAGTTCAGTATGCTCTCGTATGAGGGGAACGTGTTAGAGATATATATAACCATTAAAATACCGTAACTTACTAATTAAATTTTTGGGTTGAAATAGTTGTTTACATCCCATATCAGATTTAGCTTTTTAAATAGTTTCAAGCTAAAAATAAGTTAAGTCAAATATGACCAGAGATTTTTTTATTTTCTGCGGTTCAACAAGTAAGAGATACCTTTGTCAATATGCATGTTAAGGTTTGCAAGATTCATATATATTAGCTGGCAATTCTTACTTCATGAAGCTCAAGACAATAAAAATTATTAGAGTGGGGTAAATAATGTGGTCCTTCCCCCTTTCCTAAGATAGTGCACCAAGATAGTGCTATTTCACAACGTTTTGCTGTGCGTAAGGCAGAATAAGAAGATTCACCATACAATTGCTCCTTCAGTCAAAACTAAAACCGTGATTTGTTGAGGGAAATCTGAGTTCAGAATTTATTCAATATATTTTTGAGAAGTAGAAAGAGTTTTTACAGCGACTGAGATTCGAGTCAAGACTAGTCTTATAACCGGTTTAGAAAATTAAAACTTCTAGGAATATTTGAGAACCGACTCGCATAAAAGAGATAATTATGATAGGTATATACAAAAACCGTGATTCTCAGATCGTTAATTTAAAATTTCTCTCATTCCCCTGTCCAGTTATTTTATTAAATTTATTGGACACCCATAATCAAATTATCGACATAATTTATTTAACTACGTAAACCCCATTCACCTAATTAAGAATCTCTTCTGATAAACAGGTATCCTTTTAACTAGGATAGGATAAAGCAAATAAGTGGTAAGTGTAACGAAACTAGCGGTGAAGTTTCCAAATTATTATGCACACTTTTTTACACCAGAAAAAAAAAAGGAGGTAGCTGTGGGATCATATGGTGGCCCCTCCATTTGCATATTTAGTATAGTTGCTGAAAAGTACAAGGGTCAGGGAAAGAGAAGTGATTGCTTCGTCGGTTTGTGCCGTGAAACCTAAGTTTATAAATTGACCAGACACCCCTGGCTTGTTTATAATTATTTGTGACTTGAGCTAGCCAAGTAGCCAACCACTCAAACCCGACTCTGATTTTTTTTTTTTTCCCACAACTTTTTTTTTTCTTCTTCTTCTTCTTTCTATAAAGCCCTTATTGAGCAGAGGAAGAAACCACGTACCATAATCACCATCACTTCTCTACTCTGTTTTTCTTCTCCTTCTACTTCCCCTTTATTCTAATATCCAATAATACCCTGTTTGCACAGTTTCTTCGTTACATTTCTCTATCCACAAGTTTCTAATAACCTTTGCGTTAGCATAAAAAAGGCTTTGAAATTTGAAGGTAAGATAAGATGACGAACTTGAATGTGGTGACTCCTGAAGAGTCATGTATTAACACGCTTATTGCTGTAGCGTCCATTTCAAACTCGCCTGTGTTACCAAGAACAGTAGTAGTGCCAGAATCACTGGCTGCGTTTGGTGGGTTTTTGGGACTGCCCCACATGAAAAGGTTGGAAGGAGCTAAAGTTAGCACATGGATTGATTCAATGAGAGCTTCTTCTCCAACGCGTGTCAAATCTAGTTTACCACCTGCTTCTGAAAACCAAGAAAAAAGTTCTTGGATTGTAAGCACTTTTCTTTTGGAACATCTGGTTTAACTTTATTTATTTTTTTTGGCTATTGTGTATCAATGGTTATATATGCTGACTTGGCTCTGCTCCGATTTTTCAACTTTTTGAAGCTCTATCATCCTTCAGCGCTGAACATGTTTGATCAGATAATATATAACTCGAAAGGAAAGCAGACAGTAATTTTCCTTGACTACGATGGAACTCTCTCCCCGATCGTTGCAGATCCAGATAAAGCCTTCATGACTAGAAAGGTTTTCCTTTTGTTCCCTCGTGTTTCATTCATATCCATATATATAATAAAGCTTATGTTAAATGTTTGTCATTAATTTTTGTCTTTGTTTCCTTAAATTAGATGAGAGCCACGCTAAAGGACATAGCAAGACATTTTCCCACAGCCATCGTCACCGGAAGGTGCAGAGACAAGGTACATTTTCTTCAAAGCAAAAAAATAAAAATAAAAATAAAAATAACTTATTATTGATTATATCAATGATAAATGTTTTTTATTTTTCTCCTCATAAGTAATTGATTTTTTCTTTTTCAGGTATATAACTTTGTTAAATTGGCAGAACTGTATTACGCAGGAAGCCATGGCATGGACATCAAGGGGCCAACAAAAAGCCAAAGTCCTAAGAAAGTGAGAGAGAGAGTTTCTGTAACTAATAAATGTGTTGAAGATTTTATCTTTATGTTCTCTCTGCTTAGCTTCTTGATTTTTTTTCAGGGTAATGATGAATCAGTGTTGTTCCAACCTGCGAGTCAATTCCTGCCCATGATTGATGAGGTTCATTTTATTTTTATTTTATTTTCAAACCTCTATTCCCACCAAATTGGATATTAACTGAGTCGTACGTTATCAAAACAAATTTTCAGGTGCACAGGATCTTGTTAGAAAAAACAAAGTCTGTCCCAGGGGCTAAGGTAGAGAACAATAAGTTTTGCTTGTCCGTGCACTTCCGTTGTGTTGAGGAAAAGGTACCAGTCAACATAATATATAATTGCTCAATTAGTAGAATTACCAAACCCACACGAACACGTAAAAAAATAAAAAAAATTAAGAAATTAAAAAATCACCATTTTAATTATCTAACCATTTTACCCCTTGCTTTTTTCTTAGAGTTGGGCAGCGTTGGCGGAGAAAGTTAGATTGGTGCTCAATGAGTACCCAAAACTTAGGCTCACCCAAGGGAGAAAAGTGCTAGAGATTCGTCCAACCATCAAATGGGACAAGGGCAAGGCTCTTGAATTCTTATTAAAATCGTTAGGTGAGTACATATTCATGCAAAAATAGCTAGCCTTGCTTTTATGAGCCATTTGTCCTAATTAACTTATATTATTCTTTACATTTTTCTAGGATACGAGAATTCTGATGACGTATTTCCAATCTATATTGGTGATGACCGAACGGATGAGGATGCGTTTAAGGTAACAAATGCCGCCACCTTCATAGTTAAAACTAAAAGTATATTGCTCTTAATTGTATATGTTTCACTTATATTTTTTAACTGACTAGTTAACATTATGGATATAATATAATCATCAGGTTTTGCGCGGTAGGGGTCAAGGGATTGGGATTCTTGTTTCTAGAGTTCCAAAAGAAACAGACGCTTCCTACACATTACAAGATCCATCCGAGGCAAGTCCAATATATTATCCAACATAATTCGTAATTTTTTAAATGTTTAATTGGTAATATTGTTTAATTCAAGCATCAGTCTGTTATATCTTTATAATATGAATGGTGAATCTGAGCAATATATAAACAATAACTTTATGCCTACATACAGGTTGAGCAATTTTTGCGGCGTTTGGTGGAGTGGAAAAGATCAAGTACCGTGACACCCACAAGTGTATAAAGTTTTAGATTGTAGACGATCAGTTTAAGGAATTGACACCACCTCAGAATTTGGTGAAGGGGTGGATCTAATTGTATCACTTTCTTGTTGAAAATGGAAAATAACAAATTTTCATAATTTAAATTTTTAAGGACAAAGTCCAAACAGAGAGATTCCTTCACTCGTTTGCATGCGCATGGGGATAGTGAAAGACAGATGTTTTATGCTGCAGTTGCAAATGGCACGTCAACCTTGTTGCTCTTAAATGTACTTATCGTACGTGTGACCAATTTATACTTGAAAAGATAATTACAAACGGCAACTTAAAAGCTGATTTAGACAATCAAATACAAAAATGATCGTTAGTTTAGGAAATTTAATACAGTAATGATCCTTACATAGAAAAAGTCTATCGTAAACTTTACATACATTTCATATTAATCATTTATTAATTTATTATTAAAAAGTCTCCTTTTCGTTTTTTTGCATCCCTTATCAATGGTTTTCCTTCACTTTGCGAAGGTTTGTAATCATCTGGACAAATATAATTACAGTATTAAATAAGTAGTTTTTTTACATTCAAGATATGTATTCAAAACTTCTCAATTTTTATGGAGTATTTCTTTTCCAATCTTTTTGTTTCAACTCGTACCAGACGCAAACTATATTCAAGTAAGAGAATCTATACAATTGAAGTTCATCTTTCAATTGTTTAAGAAATGAGTAATTTCGACCACTTAACACTTGTTTATATCATTATGGTTATGGTAATTGCTCAGTCACTATATATAATTTTGACCTCGATTGTGGCATAAATTTAAGTTTGTGGATATGGGTTACTGACCAAATGCATATGGCATAAGTATTTTAAACTCAAAGGAAATTATGGATAACAGTGTTCTCGGGAACTCCAGCTTATTCAGTTTGACATCCAATTAAGTGAAGGCTAAAGAAAATTAAAGATACAAAACCATGTGAAATCTTGAACTTGGTGTCTCTTACCCTCATTTCCACAATCAGAGCCAAGTCAATCTTTATACAGAGTAGAGTTATATAAAATTCACCAAAAAAGAGTAGAGCTTTATAACAGTTGTCAAGATTCTTTTGCGCAGCCCATCCGGTTGTAAGATATTCTTCTTATATTGTAATGTTATAGTAAAGAACCATCGGGTGATCTGGTGTTTGAGAGATATAATATAATTTTTTTTTTTCTATCCGTAGTCACCAATCATGTTATGCAACCATTTCACATATCAGCTTAAGGTTGTAGGTAGAGGCTCAATTTTTATATTATATATGTCTAACATTTACTTATATACTAGTGTTATTTCTTATTATATACATGTTGAAATATTCAAGTGTGGTGATTGAGTACTGGGCTTAGAGTACTCGGTTAAGGGAGAGTATATCAATGTTGGATTTCACACTTGAGAGAAAGATTGTTAGGATATTCAAGTGTGATGAGTCTCACATTGGTAGATAATGGGCTAAGTGAAGCGTATATAAGTGGATTGACCTGCATGAACACAATGTCTTAAGGTTTTGAGTTGTGACATAGTGTTAGACTCACTTGCTACAATTGGTATAGCTCAGCCTATTGGTGGTGGTTTTCCTCCATGAGCTTCTCCTGATACCCGCCTCACAATACATAATAAAAAATTATTTATATTTAAATATTACGATTTATAGTAAAAATGAAAAAGTGACTGACATAATATACGTATTTGTGTCTAAAGGAGAAGTGTCTTCCTGTGCTTAAAATTTTATCCCTGAGGGGGTGTTTGTTTCAGGTTTTTGAAGAGGATTACCGGTAATCCTTCTTTTGGTAAATGTAATTACCACGTTTGGTAGAAGGAATAAATTACGATTCCCGGATATCCAAGGATTACTGGTAATTTGATTTATAAAGAAAAGTCACTATTCAGATTACCAAAAATAATATGATAATTCGGAATACCAATCAGAATACCAAGTAAAGGGAAAGCACAATAATAAATTTTGAGACAAAAATACCTCAATACACATAAAAATCTAGACCCAATCTATCAATTACAAAAGTAAAAATAGTTTGGGGTTATTTTTGTAAAATAACCTCATATTACAAGTCATATTTCGTTCTAAACCAAATATGGAATCAGTAATTTTTACCCAATATTCCCGGTAATATTTTGGCGAACCAAACACCTCTTTCGTAAGATTCCAAGTAAACTCAATTTCTACTGAATTCCCATTAATCATGATTTCCGGTCACCAAAAAATTTCTCTTGTACCAAACACACCCTAAAGATAACTAATTGTTGTTGCATGGAAAGTACACCGGTAGCACAAGTACTAATTTACAAAGTTGAATTAATTGGAAAGGTTTTTATGGAATTGATTGGAATAGTAATTATAAGGAAACAATTGTTAAATATTATTAATTAAGTGCAGAGAAAAAAATTCAAATTAAAAGTTGGGTCAAAAATCAAGAATAGAACACGCAGTTAGGGTTTCGATTTCTGCCATTTTCCTCCAAACTAATCTAGTTCCCCTCCCAAACAATATTCAAACTTATGTTATCGAACAATTCATCCTTAAATTATTCAAAAACTCAATCCCTTGATATTTTAATTCTTTGACCTGTTACGAATCATAATTCCTTAGTAATCCCTATTAGGGCAAGCATTAAGAACTATGTTACACCGACACTAACACATGACACGACACGCCGATACATTAATTCTAAAAAATGCCACATTTCGACACGTTAAGACACGTTTTGATATTAAATAATATTTTTAATATATATAATATAATTTATATTTAATACATATAATAGTCCATAATAAGTCATATAACCAATCAAATATTCAAATTTCATAACATAAATATAAAATAATAAAAAATCCGTTCCTTGTTAATTTTTCATGTCAAATTCCATAACAGAAAAAATTAATTTATAAATTATTTTTTCATGTTTAGTTAATAAAATAAAATTTAGACCTACAAAAAAAAATATGTCAGATGCGTGTCGGAGCGCTCACCGTGTGTTGTAACGTGCTGGTGTCCTATAAGCATTTTTCAAAAAAAAATTATGTGTTGGTGCTTTATAGTTAAGAACGATGAATTAACCCCCTCGTAAACTTTATTAGTCTATCCCTAAATAACACAAAACCTGGAAATCTATTCAAAATAGAGTCATACACCATTATTCCTACTGTTACGCATAACCCCAGTATCCCTTTATGATTGTCAATTCAAAGAAGAATTAAGAATGATAAGCAGAATAATTGCGCAACATGAAAAAAAGAGGAAAAAGTAAATTAATTTAAGATTCAAAAGGGTTTTATCTAGCCATATCTATAAAAAAACAATTAGACAAACATGACAATTGAAACAAAAATAAAAGAAATCGTAAAGGCTTCCTCAATCTCCATCTCAATGAGGGCGTGGTGAATCTCTATGAATCCCAATTTGATCTCCTTACGTGTAAAGCTTCTGGTCACAAGGCTTTATCTTGGTCCCCCAAAAACTCATTTAGAAAGCCATGAAGGTAATACTTGTAAAGACGTCAACACTAGGAATTAGGAATGGGCTTTTCTTTTTGGGTGTTCAGGTGCCAAATCTTTTAAATGAGATTTCATCTAATTTTTGCAACAATCACGATATTTGTGTCATGAATTTAGCATAGTTAGGCATATTCGCTAAAGCCTCAGCAAAAGAGTATCGTCTCCACGAGGATTGAAGCACCGAGTTTATTATAACTATTCTTTTCTTGTGGGATTAATAAAATTGGTTTAAAGAACAATTGTGGTTTGTAATAAGCAAAGACAAATCAATAAAGTAAAATTAAATTCCAAGATTCTTTTTAAACTTAAGAACAAAAGATTAATGGTTGATCAGAAAATATTTGGAAGAATATTGCGGTAACGAGAAACAAACACATTTATGATCCCCACCTTGTAACTTGGATTAACATTTATATTTAATTTATTCAATTGATCAAATGATCTACTATCTTTTATTTAATTGGTTAAGCCTTAATTCCTTAATGACTTTAACCTTATTAACTCTATTAGAATCCTAATCCCTTAGAAATCCTTTTTCAAGTTAAGCCTTAGAATCAGTGAATCTTTAACGTTTGCGGTTCATGTAGCCTATCCCTAGTGCATACATGAACAGTTACCTTACCTTTTGTCAGGAATTAGAATCTCAATATCCCTATTGAAAACCCTAACCCTTGCAATCCTAATAGATTGATCGGTTCCAAAAGAATTATGAGATGAAGAACAAAACAAGATAAATTCAATTTAAATAAATAACCATAAATTTAACCAAACTACAAGGGGTTCACATTAAGGGTTGTGACCCTTACCACAATAATAAAAGACTAGCCACACATATTCATCTCTGACAAATTAAATAATGCAAAAGAATTCATAAAAGAATAAAACCAGAAGAAACAGAAGATGAAGAAGAATCTTGAATCTTCAGTCTCCCGTCTCCCAAAAGCTTTCTCTCAATTTGTTTTTTTGTGATTTCTCCAGCCAAAAAGATCCCTTGTCTCTGTAATTTTCCACCCTTTTATAAACTTTGATTTCTTGTTTCTGAAAAGAATCTCAATCAGGTCAAAATCCTCTAGAATATTTGATTTTACTTCCGTGTTAGAAAAGCCCATGAAATCAGGAACTGCATTCGCGACACCCGCGCCACCAGCGCTAATTCCGCGCGATCTACGCGGGCAGGCAGTGGACAACAGCTGTGATTGGCGCGATCAGCGTGGATACCACGCTATTTGCGTGAAGATACAGTGGTGTTGGCCCCTTCATCCTCATTCTTGGCACGATCAGCGCCAATGTTGCGCAATTCGCGTGGAAAGGCCGTGATAATGACGCGATCCGCCCCATTCTCACAATGTTCGTGTGAGGTGATTGTTTGCAACAGTGGCTTTTTCATTCTTTCCTCCTACAAAAACATAGAATCAAATTGAGAACATGCCTGAAGGTGATTATCAATAATTCTTTAAAAAGCATAACTTTTAT